CACAGACACACACAGTCTTACGTTGCTTGCTTTCATACATTCTAAGGCAAACATTGGAGGTAGTTTTTGGTCCAAACAAGATGAAGGTTAGGTAGCTGTTAAAAGCCTTATTATTTGAGGGGAGGGGGGAAGACACTTAAAATTTGTCCTTGAAAATGCACAGCCAGGTGTGCTCTCAGGAGACCTGTTTTCAGGCGGGCTGCGTGCGCAGCTCTCTCCTTGAGCCTCCCTGCACCTCCCTGGACCCGCGTGATGGGCAAGAAGGAGACGAAGGTGTCTGAACAGGAGGCGGCCTTGAAGCTCTGCTAGCCCCGCTAACACTAGGTGCTGAAAGACTCAGGCTGTAGAGACACTGCGTCCCCATCTTCAGCCACGTGGCATGTGTTGTTCTCTGCTCATCCTGAGAAAGACGAATTAATCGATCCTCTTTACGGGGTCCCGCATTTGGCGACCAAAACCTGGGAGCAAGTCTCATCAACAGAGGGTCCTTTAGGTCAAAGTGGGTATTGGACGGTAGCCTGGAAGATGTAGCTAATTCCTTTTGGTAGTTTCCATGAGCGTATAAGGAATTAAATCATTACGATGACATGTATGCCTTTAACCTGGACACATTCATGTGAAGCAAGCCGTCCCCATAAGGGACTGGGACCGCATCTATATTGAGCTGCCAAATGTCCACCACTCCCCAGGAGAGCATAATAACCTATGGAGGCCACTGGAAACAGTCAACAAAGGTGGACAAACTCACCCTGCATTCAGATACGTTCTGACTAAAGTCAGAGGGAAGAAGCAAAGGCAATGGGTGTGGACTCAGATTACATCATGGGGGACAGCTCATCCTGACATCTGGCGTTTGGGTGGCTATGGCCCTGAATCATCAGACACTGCTCCTCAGGGATGTCTGTGGTGAGGAAGAAAGCCTGGAGGACACCTTCTTTAATGACCTGTATTCTATGACACCGCAAAGAACTGCTGGTTTGAGGGACAGCTGAAGGGACCTAGGTCAGAGAAGAGTAAACAAGGTAAGTGAGGCTAAAAGAAGTAGAGCCTGAAGGTGATGACAAACAGGAATGTGGAAGCTGGCCTTTGCGTTCCTCTTCAAGGGGACTGCACCAGAGCAGTGCATTGGCCATATACTCTGTTTTCTGTGTTCCGATACTTTGACATTGGGGACCGGAGGGACTGACCAAGATCAGATGAGCATGCTTTTCAAATGCAAACCAACCAAGTCAGAGCCCATACCCCCAACCACATCCTTTATTGGGATTCCACACCCCAGGCCACAATGCACCTGCCCTAATCACTCCACAGCCAGGTACCAGATAACTAGAGTCGGCCTCTATGCTCCAAAAGTCCACTGAACCTATTCTATTCACACTGGTCAATCTTTTTTTTTTCTTTTTTTTTTTTAAACTGGTCAATCTTAAGCCTGCTTGTTCTGCCTCCCCACTTCCTTACCTTGGAAACCATAATAAAGATCCTCACCTGAAGTGTTTACTCTCTCCCTCTGCCTCCTGACCCCAGGGTTTCCCTTGTGCACACACACTCCCTCCCTTGATGTGGCCTGCCTTCCTCTTGGGATCTGTGAGTATAACAAAGTGTTTTTACAATGGCAATTATCTCTTTACCCACACCTAAATAATAATAAAACCTCTATTATACAGGCAGGGTGCAGACCAGCTCCCATCTGTACCAGGGCTGGGTTTAGGATGAATCACTGAACACAAGGATGAGATCTTGAATCTGAAGTACCCATAGGAAGGATGTCTGTGTTCTAACAATCTAGACTATGTTGTGCTTGGTTGGAGGATTTTCTTTCTATGAAACAAGTAGTTTTTATGAAAGAATATTCTGATTCACATACATCATTGTCCTTTCAGACTGCTATAACAAAATACCATAAATTGGGAGATTTATATACAATTACAAATTTATTTCTCACAGTTCTGAAGGCTAGAAGTCCAAGATCAAGGTGCCACATGGCCTGGTTCTAGTGAAGGCCCAGAGACTGCCAACTTCTGCTGTGCCCTCAGATGATGGAAGAGGCTAAGGAGCTCTGTGGGGTCTCTTTTATTAGAGCGATAATGCCATTCATGAGGGCTTCACCCTCATGACCTTCCAAAGGCCCCACCTCCTAATACCAATGTTCAATATGTTGATGAACATATGAATTTGGAGGATCACAAACATTCAGACCATGGCAATCACCACCTTGGAGGCTGTTTCTTCTTTGATTTCTAAAAACTACCAAAAGCTGCTACACAGCCTATAAACACTTTCTTAGTTATCTCTAAGAAAAGAAAATGCCTTTTGGCTGGGGGAAAAAATGTATCGCCTTTGTTCAAGCTGGGAAAGCCTGTGGAAAGATGATGTGGTTAAAGATGCACTTGAGTGTTGCCATAGAGACTGGTAAGCTGAGAGAAAAGGAAGGCATTTCCTCAGAGTAAGTCTGTGGAGTTGATTCAATATGGAAACAAAGAAGTAAGCAAGGAGGTTTAAATTAAATATCCGGGTTGATTTTTTTTAATTTTATTCCTCTGCCAATGCTCCTAATTAATGCATTACTTTTTGGCAGTAAAAAAATTTCTGGCATCAAATGATCTTATTTCTATTAAGATAATTTCTATATACACTTTTACACAATCATTTGAAACCAACTAATTAGAAGCAGATGTTCGACTACTGCAGCATTGGATTTAAACTGGTTATTCAAGCCTAGGATGGCCTTTTATAATTGTCTTAAAATCTATTAAGCATATATTTCTGAAGCCTTGAATAAATATTTGTGTGTGCATATATCTGGCTTTAAATAATCGCACAGACTTGAATTAACCTAAGCTCCTCTGTGTACTCCTATTTTTGTTTCCTACATGTTTTCTTACATAGAAGCAAGGATTCCTGAAATCACAGTCAGGGGTTGATTAAATCTAACCAAGTAGATCCTAGTAATTTTCCTGAATATAGCAATAGATCACAGTAATTTTACTGAATATTTTCATGTTAGTTTCTACATGTTTACTTGTAATAAATATAGTCAGACTCATTTTTCCCCATCATCTGTTTTAAGGAAATAGATTCTCCCACTAATTTCAAAAGAGGAAGATTAGACCACAAAGGTGTTAGCAGTGCCCATCTATCTACAGAAGGGAGTAGTCAGTAAGCAGATCAAAAAGGAACAAAGAAAGTCTCCAAAACAGACTTAGTGAAAAGAAAAAGTGCATAACTGTGTGAAAAGTAGGCTATCTCTGCTGTAATGGAACAGAAATTGGACACACTGTTTCTAAAATGTACTTTGAAGTGTAAACGGTCAGGCAATCTTGAAAATGAAAAACAAAGCTAAAAGAATGCATGTATCATGTGTTATAAAGCCAAAAATTTTAAAAGAGTATGGAGCTAGTACAAAGTTAGACAACTAAGTCAAAAATAGGGTGTCTAGGAATAGACACACACACAGTCACACACAGTCACATGATTCACGACAAAAGTGATGCTTCGGTTGAATGAAGACAGAACGATCATTTCTGCAAATGGCGCTCGGTAAACTGAACACCCATACTGGAAAAAATAAACATCCCTCTCACTAGTCTGAAAAAAATTGGTGGGAAAGGTAAAATAATAAAGTTTTTGGAAGAAAAGGTAAGAGAATACCTTCCTGTCCCTAAGGTACGCAAATACTTCTTAAAAGAACAGTTGTAAAGGGGAAAAGTACTAGTTGTAAAGGGAAACAAATTGATAAACTGAGCTTTATGAGAATTAAGGGCTTCTGTTCCTCAAAAGACATCAATAAGGGAGTGAAAGGCCAGCCACAGAACAGGAAATACATGCAATAAATATACCCAAGAAAGAACTTGAATGCCAAAAATATAAAGAATTCATACAAATCAATAAGAAAAGAAGGCAACAGTACAATAGAAAATGGGTAAAGAATTGAATAGATGCTTCAGAGAACAAGTTAAACAAACAGCCAGTAACAGGAAAACGTGCTCAATTCATCAGTCTGCAAGGTAATGCAAAGCCAGCCCCAACGGGCTACACCACTACACAGGTACCAGAATCGCTCTAATTATAAAGACATTACACACCAAACACTGGGGGTGATGTGGAGCAAATGAAATTCTCATACGTAACTGGTGGGAGTATAAATTGGTACCACCATTTTGAAAAGTTGTTTGGCTTTCTTATGATCTAGCAATTCCACTCCTAAATATATATTCACTATAAATGCTTACATTTGTTCACCAAATTACATGTATGAGATAGTTCACAGAAATACAATTTGTAATAAAAATGGGTATGTTCAGTTATAGAATAAATATTATTCTGAATTCACAGAAAAGAATACTATAAACCAATAAGAATGAATGAACTATTGCTACACATAACAGCATGAATGATTCTTACAAATGATGTTGGGCAAAAGCATAAATGAAAACATCTCCTGTATGAACCCATTCACTGAAAGTTTAAAAGTAAGCAAATAATGGCTGGTCTTAGAAGTCAACAGTGATTATTCTTGAAGGGTGAGAGGGTGGAAGGGGCAGTTACAGCAGGAAGCCAGGACCCAATTTCTTCCAAAAATAAATATCCTAAGAGAAAAGGTATGGGGAGGGGGCTAACTATCATAGATTGAAACTTAAGGAAGATAGTGATGAAATCCATTTGTGAACTTATTTGAATCTTGATTCAAATAAGAAAACTATTAAAAGGCATTTTTAGATAATCCAGAAAATCTTAAATGGAATGGGTATTAGATATTATTAATTCATGTTCATTTGTTATAGTTATGTTTTTAAAAATAATTATCTGTTAGAGATATTATCGAACTATTTATGGATGGAATGGTATAATATCTGGTATTTGCTTCAAAATTCTCCAGCAAAGGAAAAGGGGTAGTGATTTATGAAACAATACTGGCCATTGACAATTGTTAGTACTCTCTAATGTATACACACAGTGGTTCAGTTTTGAGTCTGTTTAAAATTCCATACATCAAAACTTACCCCATCTCTTGCTTTCACCAAGAGATCATAGGTGGCTGGATCCCTTTCCCTGTCGATATCTTGAGAAACACAGATCCATCCATCACGTGGGTCAATCTGGAAGGCTTGAGGTGCTTCGTAGCTTTGGAATCCGTCATAAAGAGAATACTGGACCAGGCCATAGAGTCCTGCATCCGCATCTGAGGCTTTTACCTATGAGATGGAAGGTTGACCAGTGAGGAAACAGAAATGCTAGCATCACTTTTCAGTGGGCCATGTATTACCATCACGATCTGCACGACCAAGGAAGCCCCACAGCTATCCAGAGAGAGAGCGTGGGCTCGGATTTATGGCTCTCCCTCTCACGTTCCTGACAACGCGCCCCCTTTGAGTTCTCCTGTCAGTCTCCTCTGGCCACGCCTAGACTTGCACGGGATCTCTGAAAGTCTGAGTTCCTTGGGGCCCAGCCCTTGGTCCTTCTGCCTCCAGTTCCTCTCACTCTATCTAAGTGATCTCATCTAATCTCGGATTTCAAACCATCCATCTGTTAAAACTTGACAATGTATCTGTGGATTCCCTCTCATACCGAAGTCCTTTAAGTGATGGGTTCAACACCGCCTCCCCCCTTTCAGACCAGCAAGGGTAGGGCAGACCAAGGCCATAGGTGGCACAATTAGTGGTAATCCAATCCAAGTGACAGAATTCACCCTGGAGTATGAGGATGGGGTTTCCTTGCAGGAGCAATGCCCTCATCAGGGCCCACAGCCCAGGGCAGACTGCGTCCTGCACAGGGGCCCCTGGCCAGCGGAGGCACGGGGATGGGACCCAGCCCGCCCTCTGCTCGCCAAAACACACGCACCGACCCGGGGCGGTAACTGCCCAGAGGAAAGGGCACCTTTCTCTTCGGCCATGAATACCTTTTATGTTAGCAATGGTCATATGCCCGATAGAAAAGATGAATCCACTGGAATTACGAAAGCATTTAAACTCACACTCTAACTGTGGGAGCATTTAGTGAGAAATACAACACGCTACATAGAATTCAAAATATTGTTGAGCTCATAGGCTCAGGATAACCCTTTTGATATGCAACTCAATTAACAGCAAACATCTAAATAGCACTTAAAATGAAAGAAGCACTTTAACGTAAGATCAACCAAAAAACAACAACAAAAAACACACAGAAAAAACAACAACCCTATATGCTATAGAACAGGTACTATCCCAACTGCTTAACATGCATTACATACTTATAATCTATAACCAACTCCACTTTACAGATCAGAAAAGTCAGGCTCGGAGAGCTTACGTAACTTGACAGAGATCATACAGCTAATAAGTGTCAAAAATGGCTTTCAGACCCAAGCGGTTGCACAGCAGAGGACATGCTGTTAAGGATCACACTATCCTACCTCCCAAGTCTTATCCTTTGTCAGTTCATCCTTCGTTTCCTGAAAAAAATAACTCCCAAGTCTCCTGATCTTCCTCCAGTGCAGAACTTGTTAGATTGTGTGTAAACTATTCCAAGTAACTGTTTACTTAATGTGCATGTGGCTTTCTCCCCAGAATAGCGTTAGCACGAAGAAAGTCAACTGGCAGTAAAGCTTGTGCTCTCGAGCCTTAAATGAACCTTCTCTTCTGTGTGGTCAAATTCCAACTGGATTCCCCAAAGCAGAAAAATAGATGCAGTGTTAACAATTGGAAATAAAAGAGAATTAAGCAGATAATTCACAATCCAACATCCAACTAGTAGACATTCCATAAAAAGAATAAAGAACAGAAAAAAATGAAAAAAAGGAGCAGCTGTTTCTTTGGTTCATAGGTCACATACTGGTGACGCCCCCAAGGTCACTGTGACAGGGGAAGAGAGAGGGGAAGAGACACTCTTGTTTTCAACTTCCTCACCCCAGAAGTTAAGTTCAGCCCATATTTCACTGGCCAGAACTAGGTACGTGGCCCCAACCTAACTGGAAGAGAGACTGGGACAAAGTGTAGGATCACTAAGATGTTCGGTGAATACAAAAAGTCTGCCACAAGTGCCTCTGTGTCTTTACATGAAGACAAGCACAGAAGGTTACGCAGGTCTCTAAGTAGCCTCTACTATGCAGGGAAATTTCAGCAAGTGGAAATTCATACCCAGGCAAGGCTCCCCGGTGTGATCCTACTACAGATTCGGTGTGGGCGGTCCTGCATATCGCTACAGTTTTTTGGAGGGAGGCAAAATAGAAGACAATCATCACCTACATTATTAGTATTTCCGCTGTACCCATTTAACTCTGGATTTTAAAAAAAATTGATCTACTCACTATCCATACAATATACATACAGGAGCTATACTCTAATTATTACGTTTTCCAAACAAAATCCCATCCCAATAATATGTTCAACAACCAAAGTTCTCACTAAGCCAGACCTTCATCCCATTCTACCTTGAGCATATTACTGGAATGTGACTTTGGGGGCTATCGTGTAGTCCAGCCCAGTGGTTCTCGATCAGGGGCAAGTTTGCCAAAGAGGACATCTGGCAATGTCTGGAGACATTTTTGATTGTCACAGCTGAGGAGAGGGTTGAAGCCAGAGATGTTACTAACCATCTTACAGACCCCACAACAAACAATTCTCTGGCCCAAAGGTAAATAGTTCCTAGGTCGATAACCCCTGCACCTGATGAAACTCTTAACAATTGGCAATATTACTTTTTCCTCCTTAATTGTCTTTAATTTTTTCAACTAATGACACAGTGTTTTAAATTCATCTTCATTCTCATCTATCATATTCTCTGGCAAAATTTTACCCTGTGCAACTAGCTAACATGTTTGTAAGTTATTCTTCTCATCAAATGGGCTGTACCAGGAAACCCACGAGCTTCCCCACTACAAAGGACTAAATTCCAAGTACACTTGGTCTATTCCATTCTGGCAGCTGTTAATGATTTAGTAGCCTCGAGTTCCCAAAGACACCAAATATATTTCCTAAAGCCATATGGTATTCTCAATAACTCTGGCTTGATCGGAAGATGATAAACACAATGAACTTCGAATTCTAAAGCTTATTCTCAGCCTTTAATAGCACATATTAACAAGTAATTTAGCTTATATAAAACAAGCTTCCTTATTTCCAGTTTTTTCTCATCTGGACTTTTGGCAAAGCAAAATATGGAGTAAAAAGTGGGACAAGAGTACTGATCTCAATTTATGTTAGCAGTTCAGATTCTGAGTTTCCGAATCATAAAATAAAAATGTATTCTTCCCCGTTTTTACTCAACTCCCTAAAAATATTGACCTAATATTCCAGAACAATATATTCTACCTACTAATATTTGATCTTAAACAACTACAATTATTTAGCATCTTTACAAGGTCTGTATTTCCCAGTATCCATTGACTGACACATAAAATGTAGGCAATTTAAAGAAAAGAAAATAGAAATGGCTTTGCCAAATCCTCAAGAGGAAATCTTGCTTAGTAAATAAGCTCCGTGGGCCCTTTCTGCTGACATAGCTGCTTAAATCAAAGAATCAGAGAAGCATCTCAACAGCGTTTATTATCAAAATCTTGTGGTGCTAAATTAGGGCTCTAGAGCTCTGACAGGTTTTATCCGTGAATCTACTCAAAGAGCCACATTCTATCACTCTCAGTGCCATCCCTGTGTTCCTCATCTCAATCTCAGTTCACCTGTTGCAGACAGATAAACTTGATGATTTTACTTTAAAATTATTCCAATTCTGAACTGGTCTCCCTTAGCCTGATCCTTCACAGATTTAATGGAGACATTATAAAAATGTAAAATATTATTATGATATAAATATCTTCCTGATTTGATTATTAGCTTCCTGAAATTTGAAAGAATTTTTACTACTTCCTTAAGTGTTACATAAAAGATATTCCTTTGACATCTGGGTAAGGATTCTTCCATGTGAATGGAGACAGGAGACAGATTGAGAACACTGGCTCTTGAAAGCATGTTTGCATGTTCCATAAGTGCAATAACTCTATTTGCATTTCCCTCACCAGAACACCCCTCCCCTCATTTAGGAAGGTCTTCTCTTCAACAACTGGGCAGTTCTGTTGGAGTCCACTTGTCCAGCCAATCACATCAGCACTCAAAAACCCAAAAGTCAACCCAAAGTCATAGGGTGATATTGTGTCAATCATATTATTTAATTCAGTGATGTTTATAGAAAAGTCTCAGAGTCCAATAAAAAATTCCTAGAGAAAAGTGGCTGCACTTTAGACAAAATTTAAAATAAAGTAACTCACTTTAATTTTTCTTATTATAATTTCCAAAACTATATGCTATATCCATGAGCATATAACTGTTTGCAGAAACAAAGTTATTACCACAACATACCCACACATAGAACTTCAAACAAAAAGAAGAAGAAAAATCACAAAATACAACTTTTTACATTTGAACCACTTAGCCAATCACTGATCTTACAGTTAAAACAGGATTAAAATATTCCACTGAAAAGTTGGATTCAGCATTGGGACCACAACGAATGGTCCCCATACGCAAGCACGCTACTCTCTGAACACAATTTTGGCAACTTCACCAACGACCTGTGTCCTACCAAGTCTAATAATCAAGGCTGGGTCCTTATTTTTTGCACCATTCAGCTGCTCCTAACACAGTTAATCATCTTTCTCATCAGACCCCGCACTCTAACTCTCCTCCCAAACCTAAGTTTCCTCTACTGGCTGACTTCTCCCGGCCTCTGAACACCACAGCACCCAGAACCCAGTCTTGGGACCACTTCTCTTTCCAGTCGACACACAGTGCCTGTAGTGGGCATTGCCCACTGTGGACAACTCTAAGAAACTGACTTGCATTTTATCATAACCATCCGAGCAATCTTTCTGTAGCTCAGGAGGGCATCCCTCGCCCCTGGCTGCTTGCAACAGCCTCCACTCCTCGTGCTCTCGCTGCACTTGCTGGGTTCCATTATTTTCTTTAGCCTGCTCCTAGTCTTGCTGGATTGTTGAGTCAAGCTTATGATTCAGAAATGAAAACTACACAAGAACAACAAAAGGACAATATATTTTATAACACCCATCAAACACTCATTGAGGAATAGTTTTTAATTTCTAAAACACAACCTATTAACCAAGCTACACCATCATAGAATAAAATTCAAAATGCTAAAACCAGCAAAAGAAAAAAATAACTGTATTAAGGCATATGAAACTATTCAGTGGTTGGAAACAGAACTG